GGGGGGCGCGCCCCCCTGCCACAACGGCACAGAACGGGAGCGCCCCCCCGGGTGGAAAGCCCAGACTGAGTTTCCGGGGGGGAGGCAGTGGCCTCTGGGGAAAGGCCGGGGGGGGGGCCCGGTTGCGCAGCAGAGAGCACTACTGCTGTGGGGAGGGAGCCACAACCAGCAGCAGGAGAAGCCAGTTGCCCCCTGGACCTGCAAAGCAGTGAGGAGCACGCTGGGGAAGGGGAAGGAAAGGCTCCCAGCGCAGCCCCAACAGCCCCCAGGCACAGGCTTCGCGTCCTGCTCCCAAGATCAGACCCGACGTGGGCGCCACGTGTTCCTCCTGTGCTGCCCCCGGAATTCCCCAGAGGGGCCAAAGTCTTCCTGTCGGAGGGAGCAGCAGAGCCCCCCAAGCCCCGGGATGGCCAGCCGGCACAGTCATCTGAATGCCAGGAGGAGCCCGGCTGGAGCAGTCCCTGGGCTCCTCTGCCCTCGCAGCCAGCCATCATCTCCCACCCTAAACAGCCCCCCACGCAGACCCCTCCTTCCCAGATGCAGCTCCATTGGGGGACATACACTCCACTTCCCTCTCCCCCACAAGAGAACCGAGCATCCACTCATCCAAGCTCTGTTCTTACTTTCTAAATGTTAAGTCCCTAGTCCTCAGGGCTCTGGCTGAAGTCAGAGCCAGGTCCTCCCGCAGCTTTGCACCCATGGAACAGCCAGAAGAAAGGCTCCGACCCACAGCCCTTGGGCCCAGCTCCCCTCCTCCCCCTTTCTGGCCTCTCCCTACCATGCAGCAGTCTGAGTGGGGCTCCCTACAAGAGCCCTCAGGAACAGGGTACTTCTGAGCACGAGCAGAGTCCCAACCGCAGAGGCAGCACCTGCTTGCCTGCCTGCCTGGAGTTCAGAGACGACATTCAGCGTGGAGCAAGGCATCAGCCTTCACCCCGGCACGGCTTCCTCCCAGCCAGTCCCACGGGGTCTCCCTGGCCCCTCTCTGGATTGGGTCCCCGGGGCTTCTGCCCGCCAAAAGGAGGCTGGGCACAGCCGGCAGGCAGCCTCCGGGCAGAGGGCAGAACCCGGCTTGCCCAGGACTAGACCAGCCCTTCGGGTCCAGACCCTCTCCCGCAAGGCTGCCCTCCGGCCACCCAGACCGCGACCTGAGCTGGAGGCGGGCGGCCCGACGCAGGAGGGAGAGGTGGCTGGGGAACTTGGCACAGGAGCCCCTGGCAAGTGGGGATTTTATGCCCAAATAAGGTTGTGGGCAGCTGCCATTGCCGCCACAACACCATGGCAACAGGCAAAAGCAGGAGGGAGGCAGCCCGACCCGGAGGCGGAGGGAGGTCAGGCAGTGGG